ATTGATGGCTGGTCTAGTCCTCAGAATTTGTCAATTTGGAGTTTTGTAATATATACACCTGATCATAAGCAATATTTTTATGAATGACTTCAATAATTTTGATTTTCGTCAAGGGTTTTGACTTTCGTCAAAGGTTTTGACTTTCGTCAAGGGTTTTGACTTTCGTCAAGGGTTTAGTCTTTCGTCATTTTTTAGTGATTTGACGAAATAGTTTCTCAATTCCAAAAACATTTCGTCATACATCATTACTATATAGTAAATTTCTAAAAATCTTTTCCCACCGAGGCGCAGCCAAAAATTTTTTTGAGTCAAATTTTTTTCTAGTGAACATTAAAACAATATACGTCGTATAAGTATTAAAAAAGGCAACCTCCAACTTCAGGAATAGTTGTGGGGAGGGAGTGGGGTTGATGAAGAAGTCAGTTTTTTGCAAAAAAAAACGAAACAAAAACTTTTATTTCTTTAATAAAAGGTTCAACAACAAAAATAATATTTATTGTTGTCAATAAAAAGATAACAGGCAACAACACAAATTTCAAGAAACAATGGTAGGTTTTTCGACGTTTCTTGACAAGATGTCTTGCATGTTCAATGAAATGGGATGCTTCAACTTAATTCTCTCTTTTTTTTTGAAGAAAGAGGCCACGTGGAGATTGTGTACGACGTCAAGTCGCTTCAAACGGATACTTTTAGTATTACGGGGGAGTTGTGCATTTAAAAAATTGTTTTACTTTTATTTTTCTATGTAATTCTCTTTTTGTTAATTCATATGTAAAATTCAAACCAATAAAATGTCACGGCAAGACTACGTTGTCGTTAAACCAAAAAAAAAAAAAAACTACTTTTATAAATAAATAAATAAACATATTAAACAAAATATTATGATAGCTGTAATCCATAACTCGGTCGCGTAATTATTTATTTTATATATGATTATTATTTATTTATTGATCATACTAAACAGTTAAATAAATAAATGATAATTAATTGAATTATTTTTTAATTTTTAAAAAAAAACAATCGAAGTAATTTTTTATTTTATTTATAATTTAACATAATAAATACAGTCCACAACTTTTTGCCAATTTTGCAATAAAAATCGTTTAGTTGTGTGTGATATTTCCTAGTCATTCCATAGAGATATAGTAAAATCGGTAATAATAATAATGCATACAGTATATACCATCAGTTGTCTAGGTGGGTGATTCATTTTACTAATTAATGACTTTTTCATGCATGAACTATTTGAATAATAATGATGATGACAGTCTGTTTTAAATAAAGTGATTTTGCAAGGCATTTAATTTAAAGTTACACTATTATCGAAGAATTACAAAAGAAATATACTGACTAATGAGAAGTACACGAGTATAGATCAGAAAGTAAAGAATCATTTCTTGTATTTATTATAAAAAATTGTAACTAAATGGGTGTCCTGACATAAAGTGGATGGGGCATTACACGATGATTTCTGATTAGCCAACTATTATCCAAGTTTAAAAACCAGCATACCCAATTCATTCTTGACCCATAAACTATTTTTATAATTGTCACTCAAACTTGATGATGGTTCTTGAGTGATTCTAAGTCAAAGTCATACGAAATATATATATATATAGGGTTTGTATTCATGGATACCATGAATACCGTTAAGGGGGTTACACACTAATAAATCAGCAAAAAATCCCTTAAAAACACTTGATTTTAATAGTGTGTAACCCTGTGTGACATCCTTACGGTATCCGTGAATACAAACCCTATATATATACTTCAAACTCCTGTGATCACCTTCAAAACTTTAGAAATCACAATCCTTAAATCACAAAGATGCTTAGTGTTTTGAGACACACATATATGTCGAAAGTCGTAAACGGGGGCCCTTTAAAATCCACCATTTACCACTTAATTTGACATTATAAAGCCTCAAATACCGATATAAAGCTTGGAAACTAGGCTTGTTCGGTGGGAATCATCAAATTCGAAATCAGGGCACCTTGTAAACACAAAATGTGCGCAATTTAATCTTAATTGGAAAGCAGCGAAACAAAGTTCAGAAGTCAAATCGATATAAGCACCCACAACAAACTCATAGCCATATAGCTTCTATTACCACATTTTTTCTAACAAATTCATTCAATGTACCAGCTTGAAAGTCTGCAGGTTTGAGGAGATCTTGGTTAAGCATGAATGATGGATGAATTCTCAAATTTTGGAATCTCATATTTCATGGTTATCACAGCATCTTTTTTTTTTTTTTGAAGATAAACTTTCATTGTTTACCCTATTAAGTCAAACATCCTCAAGTTGCACAATTCAAAACTCATAAAAAAAATTATTACCAAACAAACTCGAACAATGAATGACCAAAAATCCTTCAAATAGGTCATGTAGAGTATGATGAATGAAAGTATCTATCTTCGTTGTTAGTACTTGCAACTTTTAATATAGGCAGTAGAAGAAAGCTATTGTATTTTCAGGATCACATTAGTTAAAGGAGAAATCGAAAGATTAGTTAATTGTGTGGTGGAATATTGGTAATTGTAGATAAAGTGAATAAATTATCATTATTATGATTACAAATCAAACCAAATAAAATCTTTCATTGTTATGTAGATTTGAATTTTTATTATAAAAAGTAAATTCAAAATTAGATTGGACTTTGCGCATTTCTAAAGAACAATTTACTTACTGTTTTATTGAAAAAGTAAGTGTCTTTGGAATTGACACCTTTTCTACTTATCTGAGAAATGATGTAAATTTAAATCAAAGAAAAATTTTTCTACATAACTTCATTCTAAATTTAGATAATGAAGAACTGCATTAGTGTTAGAGTTCATGTATACAGGCAAGAGATATCTCAAAATTGATTATAATTAAGCTTTTTTTTATTGGCACTCAAAATATAAATTAAGTTAACTGAATGTTATTAAAAAAAATAATCATAAAGTAGCACTATTGCATAGATAAGAAGAAAAAGGATTTTATGAATTAAGAGGATAAGTGAATAAAATTTACAATGCTTTTTATGTGATAATATATATGTAAAGGTTTTTTTTTTTGAATAAAATAAAAAAAAGAAATAAAATTTTTTAAAAGTGATTTCTTAGTTTTTTTATTGTTGATGATGATGATGATTATAATAAGGAGGACCCTGCTCTCCAATAAATGGTTGTACAACTTGAGATACATCAGTAGGAGGAGCATCGAGTTGGTAATTACCAACATTTGCTATATTTGCATTTGAGATAGATGCTGTTTTCAAGTAATCCACATATTGTTCATTCATTGGTGTAGAACAATTGAATGAATCTAACGAACCGCTCATTAACAAATGATGGAATTGTATTGGATCCACTTCACCTCCATAGTTATCATTAACTATCTCAAGATCAACATTTGTAGTTAACGCATTAGAACCAAGCACAAAATCACTAATGTTTTCAGGTGTAATTGGAATTTGAAGTTGGTGTGCATTGTATCGTTTGGAGGTGTAAAAAAAGCTAAACGGGGTTTGAATTGGTGAATCAGTCAAGTTGCTACTTCTATATACAGTATTGTTATTGTTAATGTCGTAAGTATCATGCAAAGATGTGAACGAATATGAAGGTGTTGGTAATGTACTTTGAAAATATGAGGAGGGTGTCAATTCATTATAAAAATCAAAACTTGATGGATCATTATTATTATTTCTGTCAACATCAACACATTCAAGATTGAGTAATTCTTTTATGGTATTGTTAAATTTGGCATTTTTAGATTTGTTCAATCGTTTTTTCCTAGGTTTTCTAGTTTTCTTCTCAACTCCATTGTTTGTATTTTTTTTGAGGTATTTTTCCTGTCTATTAAGTACACCTCGGGGACGTCCACGCGAAATTCTCGGCGGGATACGAATACAGTAATGACCCTTTTCTTCACAGTTTTGGCATGAAGGCTTTCGGTTGTCGCACCTTATGTGACGTTTCTGACAACGAGAACAAGCGGTTATTACATGAGTTCTTTTATTTTCACCGTCTACATTTTTTATTATATCAACCGCTTCACTGATCGTTTGTGGAATACCAAGACAAGCAGTTATTAGGCCTTCATTTACATTTTTTGTGTCCATAGTAACAAACGTTTCATTGGTGATTTTTGTAGGAAGTTTTTCCCTATTGCCACTAGTATCAGTTTGATGTTTCATTTATATTTTCTTGTTTGTTTTTAATTATATAATTTAAAGTTTTAATTAATTAATTGACTGGTTCAATTGATTATTATTTGAAATTTTATTTTATTTTAATGAATCAAATAAATTAAAGCGGGCATGATGGATTTATACTAAAATTATTCGCAGATCGTTATTAAACGTTTTTTAAATTTTAAATCTAATTATTATTATTATTATTATTATTATTATTATTATTATTATGGTTGAATATTTCTTCTAGGTGAGATTTCTATTTGTACTATTTGTTATACAATTCCATTTTTTCAAAATTTTTTTGCCTTTTTTAGTAAACTTGTGTCCCAGTTTGGTAATATTTAAATATGTCATTTTATCACGCAAATCGACCAGAGTTTTCCATTTCAAACAAATAGTCTGATTTATTATTTGATTTATTGAATAATTTGGGAAATCTTAATTTCTCCAAAGAAATGTTTTTGCTCTTTGATTTTATGATTTATTCTATTTTTACTCATTAGCGATATTTATCTGCAATGAAGTTACAAAGTAGTAATATTCATTTGGATATAATATCTTTGTTAAAATTTCTTTTTATAGAAAATGATTTTATTCAATTTTTTTATATTCGGTTATTTTAAAAAAATGGATCCGCTCCCGATCATCAGCATCAGCAATAGCAGCAAATAAACCTACTAGCTCAATACAGTCAATTAGTCGAACCTCATTATATATACCTACAGCTATTGAATTTTAATCAAATATCATATTCACAACAATTTGGACAAAGTTCTCAATTACCAAATTACCAATGTCCAGATACACACATATCCAACAAATTCACAACTGCAAAAGTTAGGCAAGCTGTTCCGATTCGATGTCGTAAACACATGGTGCGAACAAGCACTTTTATCGCATGCAATTTGTATCGTAAAGCATATCATTAAATATTAAATAAATATTAAATAATTGTAAATGTTAAATTCGTTCATGCATTCACCATAGACTAATAACATACCACGCACTATTATAATCAATTCTACAACCATTACTCATACTTTTTCATTATTTAGAACTATGGAATAGTGTAAGAGTTATATGATTAACGATTAGTTTTTACAATAAAAAAATAATTTAAATAAACGTTTTATTATTCAAATTACTAACCAGAATATTAAACAGAATCCGAGGTTTCTATTGGTATTGGTTATGTTTCCTAGCGGTTGTTAGATGATTTAATTTAAATTTATTACTTTCAAAGTGAACATATATAATTTATCAAATGCAAAGAAGCCTTCAATAGCTAATTTCCGAATTACTTCATTTATTACTTAATTACTTCGAAAGTATATAAAATAGGAGGTGAGTGGTCTACAACTGAATTAAAGTCAGATGACGGGTCAGTTTGTGTATGGAACATATTTAGTGATTTTAGTCATGAATATTAATATTCGAATATTTATCTCGATCACAATCATGAATATTCGAATATTTATTTCAGATCACAATCATGAATATTCTAATCTTCATTTCGATCGAATATTCGGTTACACATATGAATATTACCAAATTAAGAATAACATTTCAAAATTATTATTATGGTCGCCCAATTGTATTTCGGTCATGTGACTAGACTCTGGTTTTTTATTAAATAATATATTATAATTTTTATTTATAAAAGATTAACGACCGTTTGATTAAAATTTTATATTAATAAGAGTAAAGTTTCTATTCAAATCATTCGCTCTTTTATTCTTTATTCGAATTACTCGTTTTATTCAAATTATTCGCTGCTTTATTCCTTTACTCGAATTACTCGTTTCATTATCAAATTATTCGTTTTATTCGCTTTATCAAATTATTCGCTGACTCAAATAAAAATTATTATTGTTTAAAAATCGAATCACCTAATTTTTGATTCTTTTCATTCGAATCAAATTCAGATTGAATTGTATTGTACTTTGATTCGATTCAATTCGATTCAATTTGAACTAATTCAAATATATAATTTGATTCGAACTGATTCGATCTTATAGCAATCATTATATTTATTAATGAATTTGTTAATGAATTGTATTACGTTATCATTATTGTTATCAATTAATAATAATAATATTGATAATGGAAACTATCTTTCTTAGTGGGCCGAAATTCATTAGCCAAAAATTGGGCGAAACTAATTTCAATAATATATAGCTAAAATTAGGCGAAATTATTTTCAAGTTTTTTAAAGATTCATTTCATCGACAATCACTTCATCGGCACACATTTCGTCGACAGTTCATTTCATCGACAGCTATTTTGTTGACAGTACATATGATTTTAGCGTAAAATACACATTGATTATAATTATTAATATAATTTGTTTAGTTGTATATTGATTGTTTTTATATAGTACAAAGTCATATGTAATTACCATATCAGCTGATTGGTTTTTGGGCCCTTATTTCAAACCCTACACACATGTAAAATTGGTAGATCGGTCATTATTTATTTTAAACAATTGACTGTTGCATCCGACTTAATGAGATGAGATTACATGCATACCTTATTGTGTGTGCGTAAATGGTCAGTAGAATGATAATTAACCCTAAAAAAATTTATTTGCCCTGCCATAAAAAAACTATTTTACTATTGCATAATCCGCCAAACCAACAACATTAACCTCAAAACCAATGGGTTATTGCTAGTATAAGGTATTCATAACATTATGAGCATATGATACTGAATTTTGAGGTTCAAACAAAATCGACGCATATGCTCAAAGTACATTTTTTGAGAAGGGTTTTAATAATTTTATTAATTGTGTTATACATGGTATTTTATATAGCAATTCAATATGTAGAGTAACGTTGTGTATTTGCCATGGTGATTGTTCTCAATTCTTTTTTATCATAATGATAAGACAAAGGGTTCCGAATCTAAATCATTTTTTTGGTGACATCACTATACTGATATATATATAAAATCAATATTTGGCCATACCTTTGATCATTGGTTATGAAAACTTGGTCGATTTAATTGGTCATCAATTTCGTCAAATTTAATAGTAACGAAATTACAACGGGTTGACAAAATAATTCCCACCCTACAAAGAATTTCGTCAACCATTCTGAACTTGGAAATGTTCATTCGAAAAAATATTCTGATTGTAGGATATTTTGAATGGTTAATAATTCAATTCATGATGTGACTATTTGAATTTTATTTTCAAAAGATATCTAAAAAATAACTTTTGTTATCATCAATTGATATATAATGAATTGTAAGGCATTTGATTTAAAGTTACACTGTGACCGAAAAATTAAAAAAGAAATATACAAACTAATGAGAAGTGCATGAATATATATATTAGAAAGTAAAGAATCAGGTCGTGTATGTATTATAAAAAATTGCAGCCTAAATGGATGCCCTAACATAAAGTTAATGGGACATTACACGACTAATTCAAAATTAGGTTGGATTTTTGTGCATTTGTAAAGAGCAACTTACCTACTATTTTATTGAAAAGTAAGTGTCTTCGGAATTGACACTTTCTCTACTTATCTAAGAAATAATGTAATTAGATAATGAACATTTTCAAATAGATAAGAGGAAAGCTGCGTTAGTGTTAGAGTTCATTCATTCAAGCAAGTGACATCCCAAAATTAATTGATGGCGTGATTAAGCTTTTTCTATTAGCACTCAATAATAATTATAAAAATATAAATTAACAAGTTAATTAAAACAAATAATATAAAATAGCATTCTTGCATAGATAAGGAGAAAATGTCAACAGACTTTTATGAATTAAGTGGATAAACGAATAAATTCGAAATGCTTTTCGTGTGGATAATAAATATGTAAAAATTTTTTTTTTTTGATATTTATAATACATTTTTTTTTTGTTTTTAGTATTTTATTGTTGAATATAGTGATGCTAGCCGGTAGAAAAACCTTAGCCGGCTAAGCCGTTCAACCTTTAGCCGGCTAAGAACTTGAATAAATTTTTTATCTAATAATTTAGTAGACAAATATCATACTTTGTATAAATTCACTAA